TACTACATTGCCAAAGAAAATGTACCAATCAACAAGTACCAGTCCCTGAATGAGCTGTCCAAGATGAATGGAGCACCTATAACAAGAACTATGTACCAAGAAGATACTGTAAATTCAGAAATTATTGCGAGGTTTTTATTAATGCAAATAATACGAGCTGATGAAGATCGCAATAATAAGAACTCGCATTCTGAATATCTGATACTTATTTCTGTATGCAGATTTTCCTGAAATCGCAATAATTAATCTCGCATTTTAGTCCATTCTTCAAAAATCGCAATAATAAATGCACGCAATAATTTCTGAATTTACAGTACAGCATGCTCTGAATTCATCAAAACAGCTCAGCATTCTCTGTAATGATAGTAGAGTCCACTGACCTATAAAAACAGAAACACTTAATATTGTACCTCAGCTATTTGAAAGATGCCAAACTTAAGATGTCCTACTCAAAGCTGATAAACCTGACTGCCTGCAACAGTGCTGTCATAACCAGCCAGCTTATAGCCTACCAGCAACAGAATGATGTTGACCTTTCCAAACTGTGTGGTATGGGATCCCATGGTGCAGCTGTCATGATCGGTAAACACACTGGTGTATCCAAGCTCCTAAGAGAGAACAGTCCATTCCTTACAGAGATGCACTAAGACAACAGAGGGACCTGTCATACAGCACCGTCCGACTGCAAGTCAAAGATTCCTTACCGCCTTATCAGCCGAGTACCTTACTGACCAACCATCATTTGGGCCACTTCTGTCCTAGTCCATCTTAGCAACAACTGACCAAGAGAACTTCAAAGGTATCAACTTCAGTCACTCACCCAGAGATGCCCACCTTTCTGGAAAAGTTGTTCATCTGGTATCAACTCTTACCGACAACATTAAAGACAGATTTCCTGACTCCCAAGATATTCGTAGCATTCACCATATTCCAACCAGCATCTTTCTCCAACAACATTTACGATTTACCACACTATGGGACCAGTCAACTGACCACAATGACCAGTCACTACACCATCTTTGACCAAAACATTACCATACAAGAATGGAGCACTTTGAAATATATCATCTTCAACAACTTTAAGCATCTCAGCCCTGCTCAACTACTGATAGAAGTTACAACAATGAAAGATCAATTTGTGAACATTGTCAACTTATTTGAGATCGCAAGTGTCCTTCCAGTTTTTAGTGTGGAGTGTGAGCATGGGTTCTGAAGACCTTATCAAGATGAAGCTCTGATGCAAGACCAGCACCGACACTTTGGACCAGTTTATGCGCATAGGTCTAGTGGGTGTTCCTGTTAAAGACTTTGACCCAAAATCGGCACTCTGTCAGTAGCAGTCTAACCGTCAAAGACAAGTGACAGAGCAACAAACAGAATGGTTCTCTAAGCTAATGAACATTAGATAGACTTTATGTGTATTTATGTGTAGTGAATATTTATAGACTGCCATTCATAGAATATTACAGTGCAATTATTTTTCATTGAATTGTTGTAATTGTGTACAAACTTTTGTTTAGATAAATTATTTATTTTATTACAAACGACAGTGAAGTTGAACCAACGCCTGGTAAATCTTCAGTACAATAGAATCCCTAAAGTGGATACCTCGGGTATGCAGGGTTATGATAAAAACATAAAAAGTTAAGCACTTATAACAACAACACTTTAGGGATGCAGTAATTTAATTAAATTGACATGTTTCAGTGCCGTTGGCACCGTCATCAGAATAAAAACAATACAGAAAATTGCGCCTGAAGTGCAAAATCGGGTATACATCAATTACCTCACAATGCAACCATGGTGGGTATAAATAGAAAGTGAAAGTATACATGCATGGAAGTAAACTTGAAGAAGAAAGTTGAATAAAATGTGACTGTCATTGAAATTAAAATGTTTTTTGATATTATTCTGCCAAAGTCTGTTGTTACGTAATTCATGAATACCCGATTTTGTACTTCAGGCACAATTTTCTGTATTGTTTTATCCTGATGACGGTGCCCTAGGCACAGAAACATGTCGATCTAATTAAATTACTGTAGCAATCCCTAAAGTGTTGTTGTTTTAACTGCTTTAACAAATTATTTATTTATTTAAAATCACGAAAAAAGTAAAATAACAAAATTACCGAACTCTGAGGAAAATTCAAAACGGAAAGTCTGTAATCAAATGGCAAAATCAAAAGCTCAAACACATCAAACGAATGGATAACAACTGTCATATTCCTGACTTGGTACAGGCATTTCCGTATGTAGAAAATTGGTTTTATAGCTAGCTAAACCTCTCACTTGTATGGTTTGGCATAAACTTTCATTATATTGACAACGATGTGTGAACAAAACAAACAGACATAATAGGTAAAAACATCAAAAATAGGGGTATAGCAGTCAACATTGTGTTATCATCTTAATCACTATAAAAACAAACAAATATGTAACAAAGAAAGACAAAAAGGCATATAGACAAAACACATTAGCAAAAATGAAAGATAAGAATACAAAAAATTTTACCATAGCACAATAACACAATGACAGGATGAAATGATCATTAAATTCAAATGTTACCTTTGATAGACTTTTATGTGTATAGAATATTATAGACTGTCATTCGTAGAATACCTTTGATAGACTTTTATGTGTATTGAAAATTTATAGACTCATTTGTAAAATATTACAGTGCAATTGTTTTCATTGAATTGTTATAATTTTGTACAAACTTCTGTTTAGTTAAATTATTTATTTAAAATCATGAAATGATCATTAAATTCAAAGGTTACCTTTGATAGACTTTTATGTGTATTGATAATTTATAGACTGTCAATAGAATATTACAAAGCAATTGTTTTTCATTGAATTGATAAATTACTTATTTATTTAAAATTATGAAATCATCATTAAATTCAATTGTCACCTCCAGACTTGAGTTATTTTTTCAAAGAAATGTTGAATTATATATTCCCCTTCTTGAGCCTCAGATCGTAAACAAGGTGAATACACAATTATCTTGTTGTGTATTAGGTAATCACTTACATTTATCAAGATTTTTGATTGATTGATTGACTGATTGATTGGTGTTTAACGCCACTTTCAACACTATTGTGCTATTTCATGGCAATCAGTTTTTATTGGTGGAGGAAGCTGGAGTGCCCGGAGAGAACCACTGAAACTCGGTAGGAAAACTGGCAATCCTAGTCAATTAAGATTGGAGTCGAGTACACCTGCCCCGTGCAAGATTTGAACTCACAACCCGAGTGTTGACTGGCTAGTGATACAGTAGTTTGACTACTTAGACCACTCGACCATAGAGGCCCCCATTCATCAAGACAGCAGCCATTTGAACAATACAAACGATACTTTGTACATGCAATAAGAAACTCAACACAGTTTATTAATGACTTTATTTCATAATGATGAAACATGCCCTAGTTATCCTTCCACCAATTTATGCAAATTTCAAGGGTTATGCATACAACCTCAATGATGCAATACACAACAACAAAAAGTCTCCTCATGTAGCACACATGATTTGATAGTTTCAAACTTAGAGGCATCAGGGTTAGTTCAAGGTACAGTGTTACACTACTTGTTTGACCAAATTCTTCACAAAAAAGGACTTTACTTGTTCTTGTGCAAGACTTGTCACCCTCAGAAAAGTGCATTATTGTGCATCCTGATTATATAATACCAGCCAAAAAAAATTACCGAAATGACTTGGGAATATTTCAAGATGCTTGTTGCAGTCATAAAAATTTAAGTGATTGAGAAATGGAAAATACAGTATAGCTGTTCTTCATCATGTTTTTAAGGTGGTACCCAACACCTTGACTAATATTAATTTGGCTCCTTTAATTTTCATAAAATTTTGACAAAATGTTTACTTTGACCCTTTGACAAAAATATAAAAATTTCAAAAAATTTGAACAAACCACTTTATCAGAAAAATTTCATTGGTTATATAGCAGTTTGACAAACACTAATTTTGATCATTGAGAAGCTTAATATTTCCTTAACAATACAACGTAATTAAAACGTTTAGCTGATTTTTACAGAGTTATCTCCCTGTAGTGTTAGGTACCACCTTAAGAAAAGTTTTAATCCACTGTTTTAATATCTGTCACATTAAAGCTAGTTGGATATAAAAGGCCCTGATGCGAAAACTATTCAAACAAAAAAACTGCTGGTCTAATTTATAGCAAAACAATTACAAGAAACAAATATGACAGACATGATAGAAAGCTTTCAGTTGATTGAGTGTTGTTAGTGTAATGTCCATTGGCATATATATGCTCTTTAAGCTGCAAATAACTCCATAAAATAATTGGTGAATACTTTGGTTATTATTACTGTCAGTTTTTTCTGAACAATAAACATTTTTCTCTAATTCTTCGTCAATTTATCCCTTTCTGCACCCATTGTATAAAAAAAATTTAATCAAGGTGTGGTTCGTTTGATCTCAGTTCTTCATTGGTTAAAATCCTATTATGACGTCGAATTTTCTTGCTTTCCTCTGAATTTCCTATTGTGACGGCATGAAAAAAGGCGACCATGCTTGATGACGTCACATAGAAAGGACACATCTTTTTGCAGCTCATTCGAAAAGAAGGAATAAATTTGCCTGCGTATTGTTTGAAAATCATTAGAGAAACAGATTCCACCACCAAATCTCGTGTAATACGATATTTATCCACTCTCGACAGTTAAATTTTAAATATTTAAAACGCTCGGCAAGCCTCGCGTTTTAAATTTGAAAATTTAACTGTCTTGAGTGGATAAATATTGTATCACACTCGATGCAGTGGTAGAATCTATATTTATCAACTACAAACATTCACCATGTGCTGGTAACAAATTGTTTTATATCTTTGATGTCAAGTTTATTTGTTATTGATTGTATGATTTAACTTTCTCAAATTAAAAAAAAAACTTGTATGTTTGCTTTCCTTGGAATAAATACTAGTGAATATTTTAAGAATTATGCTTATGATATCTGGTTATTTTTAGCACCAACAGCTGATCAGTTTGAAGATGCTAACACAGAATCTCTAACCAATAAACCAGAAATCCATTCATCTACAGTAAAATCTGATACTGCAACAAAGGTAAAGAAATTAATGTCTGTAGAGGTTCTGACTTTGAATTTATATATTTTGAGCAAGAAAGTATTTTACTGTTATGGTGCATATTTAAGGTATGTATTGATGAGGCAGCAACCCCAAAATACAGTCCATCTCAAAAAAGCCTTCTACATGCCATTATAAAGTCTTTACTAATACACAAGGTTCTATCACAAATAACAAGCTCTTATGTCCCTATATGACTAACTTTTGTAAATCAAAGTATTGAAGATTGGCCATGAACAGGACGTCCCTGAATGGACAAAAACACAGATTATGAAGAAATATGTCTGACAAGGTTCATGACTTCACAATGGATTTTGAAACAACCCTCAATGAATACTTGTATATTCTTTCACATACTAGCCATGTGTGATACTTTTTCTGCCTTTATTTTGGGCATTTAAAAATTTTGTATCGGGCTTCATGGGAGCATGCTTTTCTATGCTTAGGGTTTTTATACGCCCGGTTACGGGACGTATTATGGTATACCGTTGTCAGTCTGTCCTTTCGTCCTCAACATGTCGGACATTAACTCAAAAACACTTTAACCAATTTGCATAAAACTTTGGTGAATTGTTTATATCTATTGACGTAAGCTCCCTTTCGTTTTTTATAAATTTTAGATTTTACGTTTCCAAGTTATGGGGTTTTATTCATTAAAAAAAGGGGGATTTTCCAGTTTATGGACAATAACTCAAGAATGCTTTCACCAACTTGCAAGAAATTTTGGTTAATTGTTTATATTTATTGACATGAGCTCCCTTTTGATTTTTATAAATTTTACATTTTACATTTCTAAGTTACAGGGTTTTATTCATAAAAAGAAGAGGAATTTTCCAGTTTTTGGACAAAAACTCAAAAATTCTTTCAGCAATTCTCATGAAACTTTGATGAATTGTTGATATCTATTGATGTAAGCTCCCTTTAGAATTTTATAAATTTTAGATTTTACATTTCCGAGTTATGGGGTTTTATTCATTAAAAAAGGGGGGATTTTCCAGTTTTCAGACAATAACTCAAAAATGCTTTCAGCAATTCTTATGAAACTTTGGTGAATTGATTATATCTATTGATGTTAGCTCCTTTTAGAATTTTATAAATTTTATTTGTTTATAGTCTGAAAACAGATTTACTAAGTAATGCGCCACAGCATAGTGTATTGCACAACAGCAAGAAATCTTTAATTGAATATAAATTCAATTCATATAACCAATTTCAAGTTCTTTGACTACATTTATTCGGAAACCTATAATATGTCAAATATTTAATTACAATCCAAATTCAGACCTGTATCAAGCTTGAATATTGTGTCAATTTTTGCCCAACTGTTCAGGGTTGGACCTCTGCGGGCATATCCAGCTGCACTCAGCGAAGCAGTTTATTACATCTGCTCTCTCACTTCTTGTATAACAAGTACTTATAGTGTAGTATTGTATCGTTGCTCACAGTACATCTTATTGCTATAGTATTCATTTGCATCATACAGTATTCCAGAAAACTTACAAATTGTAACCATGCTAATAAGATTTCAGAAATGAATACAATGTTTGGGATTTCATGCCTTATTTTTGTCTCGCCTGTGTCAAAAGTCGCATAGGTATTACTATCTGGCAGTGGCAGCAGCAGCGGCATAAACTACTCGTATAAAGCTTTATATTTCAGAAGGTAGAAGACCTGAATGCTTCATATCTTGTATGCAGATACCTTATGTTATGAAGTTTCCATCAATCATATGTCCACTGTCCTTGACCTCATTTTCATGGTTCAGCAACTGCTTGAAAAAAATTTGAGTTTTTTGTCAGGTGAATTTCTCACTTATCATGAGTAATAGGATAACTATATTTGGTATATGGGTTCCTTGCAACCTGTACATGTCTGTCAGACAGAGTTCACATGACCTTGACCTCATTTAATGGATCAGTGATCAAAGTTAAAGTTATGTGATTAGGTCCGTTTCTGAAATACTATAAGCAGTTGGTCAACTATATTTGGTGTATGGAATCATTGTAATGGGTACATGTCAGTCTGGCAGGTTTCATTCGACCTTGACCTCATTGTAATGGTTCATTGGTCAATGTTAAGTTTTTGTGTTTTGGTCTGTTTTTCAAGTACTATAAACAAAAGGTCAACTAAATTTGGTGTATTTAATGATTGTAAGGTGTACATGTCTGTCTGGAATGTATCATCTGACCTTGACCTCATTTTTATGGTTCAATGGTCAATGTTACGTTTTTGTGTTTTGGTCTGTTTTTCAAATACTAATAGCAATAGGTCAGCTATATTTGGTGTATGGAATAATTGTAAGATGCACATGTCTTTCCGGCAGGTATCATCTGACCTTAACCTCATATTTATGGTTCATTTCGATAAGTTTTTGTGTTTTGGTATGTTTTCAATTAGCACTAGAACACACCCGTGACTTACGGGTTGTTGATTGAATTAAAGTACCTATGCCTTTTTCTTAGCCTGTATTTTTAGTATTCATATTGTCATCTGATAAGTTATGCTGATTATAAGGTACACAGTTTTTTCTGCTTTCAAAATCTTTCTGTTTGAATCCGTTTCTTACTAAAACCGGAAACTACATGTCACGACCCGTCACAACCAGGCCTCCCTTACAACATAACCATGACGGTGCTCCTATTAAAGGAGTGAGATACAGAACATACATACGTACATGTGACATATACTATTGGTATCGGTATCAGATTCAACCCGGAACTTGTTTATTTTGGTAATATTAATTATGTGGAAAACAAAAGGGCCTGGAATGGTGTAATTTTTAATCAACACCATTGCCCTATGATAGTTATATATAAAGTTGAATTTGTTCGTCGTTTTTACGTCATGCCGGCTAACAAATTGGACCTCGTAATTTTTGTAGTATAGATACGCAATTGGTCAACTATATTTGGTGTATAAAAAATTGTAAGGTGTATATGTCTGTTTGACACAATTTATCTGACCTTGACCTCATTGCCATAGATTTTTAAAAATGATAAGTTTCTGTAATGCTTTTATTAAAACCTTTATTTTTAAGACTTTCAACATAAAATCAATGGTCAGTAAAACAGGCAAGCATTTCAGCATGTGCACTCTTGTTAACAAATAATATTAAATTATTCTGTTCTAGTTGAAAAATGATTTGAAAAAAAATAACATTATTTGTGTGCTTCATCATGGAGCTTTTTAAATAAAAAAACAAAAACATTTTACAATGAAGTTATCTTAACGATAAATCACCAGATTATAACTTGATTTGAAAAACTTTATTTTGCAGTCTGTGTTGTCAGCATCAGTTAGCCCTGTAAAGATGACCAACGTAGTGACACCAATGAAAGTTACTGCCCCACCAAACCTGCCAAAACCAACAAATAGTGGCGCTGCTAATCTGGCCACCCAGAATCCAATGAGCACTTTCAACTTGACACCACAGCAGCTTTTCTATCAACAGATGTTATTTTCTCAGATGAACCAACAAGCTATGATTAATCCATTAATGTCTCAGCTTATGATGGGTGGTATTCCTGGTGCTCAATGTCAGCCAAATGACGGACAGCTTTTTGGGTTAAATTCTATGTCTCAGATGGGAAATCCTTTGCAAACTATGCCACAGATGGGAAATCCCCTGCAGAACTCTGTGCACCAGATGGGACATTCTGTGCCTATGGGAGTACCGAATATGTCTCAAGTTAACCCATTAGGAAGTGGAATGATGAATCCAATATTAGGGGGACAGTCTTCTGAACCCACACATAATTCAGGTGAAGTTCCAGATCTTCCTTTGTTACCAGGGTTATTGCCCTTGTTACAACATTTAAGCATTGGACGTGGAAGTGGAGACAGGAGTGGAAACTCTGGATCACAGTGATATCTGGCTGCTGATTTACAAGACTGTCCATCACTAAATTACCAAATAATTAGATTCAGTATTAAAGCTATTTTATGATTTTATGACCTTGCAAAATAGATCTGTTTTCTATAAGTATTGCAATTTATGACAAAGAAAAAATGTTACTTTGTTACTTTTTTATTTTTCATTTTATTTGTCACTGTTGATGTACAGAAAAAGGGGCTGCTTTTTATTTCATTTTTTATTACTTAACCTCCAAATGTAAATATTTTATAATGACTCATCTGTTTGAGAGATTAGCCCATGTTCATTTTTAGTGCATAAGAATTTAGTGCTTTGAATAATTTGTTCCATTGTATATACTAGTATGGTTCCATTCTTATTGATCTGTGCTTCATTATTATTTTTGTACCTTTTGTTACTACATTTTTTTTAGTTTCTGTTTTATTTTAACACACCTATTTGTGTAAATATGGGTATGTTATAAAAAAGAATCAGCACATTGTAAAATGGACTTTGTTGCGCTGTGTGTAGTATTTGTATGAAGAAGATATTTGAATCCAACTACTGTTTTATTTTTTATTATTTGTTTGTTGATATATGTATATGTATAAAACATAAATTTGTTATTTTTTTCCAAAGAAATGGTGTGATTGCAATATTCAGTTATGTAGATAGTGAAAAGTAGTTGTTGTTAATGCAAATGTTAGTAACAGATTAAAAACAATAACATATATTCAATAATTCATATCTTTAAACCATTTCCTATCAGAAGTTGAGATGCCCCTTCCCCTCATTTGCATTGAAATCCTTGATAAGTTAAGTCTTTTTATCAGTTGTGAGAGTAATAGAAAATAATTGCAATAAATTTTGGCGTACTCAATTTAGTGTTGTCCTCCTGTCTTTCGAAAGATACAGCAGTTGTCTGTACTTGTTTTGCTGTGCCAGCACATATTTATTCACTATTAAGCTAATTTTTGTTGGTTATGATGAGTAATAAATCCAGTGTGCACTTATTGAAAATGACCTATTTTTATTGAATTTAGGCTGTTGAACTCAAAAAAATTGTCATCACAATTGTACTTTTTTTGGTATGTCTGTAATCATAACATGGCTGATTGGAGAGGAAATACATCAGGGGATTTTCTATAGAGAAATGTTGTTCAACAATGACAAATAAAACGAGCTATTTAATAGGTTATGACAATATGTCTAATAATTTTAAGGGAGTTAGATATGAAAAGAAAGTCTTATTATTAAATGACAGGTTCAAGGGTTATATTAGTGGAGCCCTCCTATATTCTTTTTGGATATAGAATACATTTATTTAAGGTGGGATGTATGTACAATCAAGGTGATTATGACACTTCCCACTCCTGAAAGACATGTTAATGTAGGAGATACGATGCAAATGGGGGGAGACGAATATAACAGATGTATTATTCAAAACGCTAACCACATGCAGTGTTTATATCATACAAATTTGTAGCTCATATAGCCAGTATACCTTTGTCTTTCAGTATAACAACATGTGATTTGGTTATAGACAATCATCTATTGTACATTTTATGAGACTCAACTAGTATATTGTCATACAGAATTAGATGTACTCATGATTATTGCTGTTTATATACTGTAAAATGGTTAATTATTTGTGTTTCTAGGGCCGTGATCCCTTTTTGCAAGGTTTTATTTTATGTTTTTGAAGTCCCATTTAACAGTAGTTCCTTACAAATCAAATTTATGCAAAGGAGGGGGGGGGGTTTCCAAATAAACCACTTGAGAGATTTTCCCACTTTATTGTACACGTAATTGTTGTGCTAAGCAACACTTACATTCAAATCATACCTGTAAGTTCAATATGGATCAGTGTAAATGATTTTTGGCATATTGAATGTTTTGATTATAAATTCTTCCATGAAAAAATTCAAAACATGTCCTAAGTTGATCCTTTTTTACCGGAATTGGTGTACTGATTTTAAATCTTTAATGTAAAAGAATGATTTGTATAGCAAACTAATATACTAACTTGGAAAATACTTTAAAAGTGAAATATCATGAACTTTATTCTTAACATAACTTTGTAGTCTATTTTATAGATGCTGAATAAATAAATATAAACATCATTAGAACAAGGATTTCAAAATCTAGACGTTTGTTTGAAATCAAACATAACATGTTTACGCTTATTTTCAGCTATTGAATAAAAATTGTATCGGAAACGGCAGAGATAATTTTAATAAAGTAAAATAAATCATTCTAAAGGTTTGAAGCCCTGTCAAATAATCTTGATTAATTTTTGATTGAAACTAAAGAAGTTTTTGAAAAAAAAGTACGGTATTCTTTTTCAGAAAAAATATGTTGTCTAATATTTTTATGATTTTTTCTGCTATTATATATTGCAAGTAACAAAGTCAATGATAGATAATACTGTTCAGAAAATTTAGAGGTTTAGCCATCTTCAGTCACACATTAATAATTTTTATACGTCTGTTTATGGGACGTATTATGGTATACCGTTGACCGTCTGTCATCAACATGTCGGACATTAACTCAAAAAATCTTTAACCAATAGGCATGAAACTTTGGTGAATTGTTTATATCTATTGACGTGAGCTCCCTTTCGTTTTTTATAAATTTCAGATTTACCGTTTCCAAGTTTTGGGGTTTTATTCATTAAAAAAGGGGGGATTTTCCAGTTTTCCGACAATAACTCAAGAATGCTTTCACCAACTTGCAAGAAATTTTGGTGAATTGTTTATATCTATTGACATGAGCTCCCTTTTGGATTTTTATAAGTTTTAGATTTAAAGTTTCCGAGTTACAGGGTTTTGTTCATAAAAAAAGGGGGATTTTTCAGTTTTCGGACAATAACTAAAAATGCTTTCAGCAGTTCTAATGAATTGGTGAATTGTTTATATCTGTTGATGTAAGCTCCCTTTAGAATTTTTATTAAATTTTAGATTTTACATTTCTGAGTTATTGGGTTTTATTCATTAAAAAAGGGGGATTTACCAGTTTTTGGACATTAACTCAAAAATGCTTTCAGCAGTTCTCATGAAACTTTGGTGAATTATTTATAGCGATTGATGTAATCTCTCTATTGATTTTCATAAATTTCAAATATGACATTGAGAAGAAATTGAACTTTATTTGTTTATAGTCTGACAACAGATTTACTAAGTATTGTGCAACAGCACAGTGTATTGCACAACAGCAAGAAATCTTTAATTGAATATAAATTCAATTCACATAACCAATTTAAAGTTCTTTGACTACATCTATTCAGAAACCTCTAACATGTCAAATATTTAATTACAATCCAAATTCAGACCTATATCAAGCTTGAATATTGTGTCCATTTTTGCCCCAACTGTTCAGGGTTGGACCTCTGCAGGTGTATCCAGCTGCGCTCAGCGAAGCAGTTTATTAACCATTGGGCCAGGTGAGCTTTTCTCATCATTTGGCATCCGTCGTCCTCTGTTATTTTTTAAAATCTGACATGTAGTTAAATGTTCATTAGGTTAAGATCTATCTGCCCTGAAATTTTCAGACGAATCAGACAACCAGTTGTTGGGTTGCTGCCCCTGAATTGGTAATTTAAAGGAAATTTTGCAGTTTTTGATTATTATCTTGAATATTATTATAGATAGAGATAAACTGTAACAGCAATAATGTTCAGCAAAGTAAGATCTACAAATTGGTCAACATGACCACAATTGTCAATTGACCCCATAAGGAGTTATTGCCCTTTAGAGTCAATTTTTAACAATTTTTCGTAAATTTTTGTAATCTTTTACAAAAATCTTCTCTGAAACTACTGAGACAAATTCAACCAAACTTGTCCACAATCATCATTAGGGTATTTACTTTGAAAAATGTGTCTGATGACCCCGCCTGCCAACCAACATGGCCGACATGGCTAAAAATAGAACATTGGGGTAAAATGCAGTTTTTGGCTTATATCTACGAAACTTAAGGATTTAGAGCAAATCTGACATGTCTAAAAATGTTCACTTGGTTTAGATATATCTGCCCTGAAATTTCAGACAAATCAGACAACCCATTGTTGGGTTGCTGCCCCTGAATTGGTAATTTAAGGAAATTTTGCAGTTATTGGTTATCTTAAATATTATTATAGATAGAGATAAACTGTAAACCGCAATAATGTTCAGCAAAGTACGATCTAAGAAGAAGTCAAAATGACCAAAATTGTCAATTGACCCCTTAAGGAGTTATTGCCCTTTATAGTCAATTTTTAACAATATTTGTAAATTTTTGTAATCTTTTACAAAAATCTTCTCTACTTAATCTACTGGGCCAAATAGAATTATACTTAGCCACAACTTTCAATAGAGTATCTTGATTGAAAAATGTATCAGATGACCCTCGGGCCCTGCCATCCAACCAACATGGCCGCCATGTCTAAAAATAGAACATAGGGGTTTACTATAGAAGTCTTTGGGAAAATTGTAAAAAAACAATTTCATATGGTCACAACTTGAAAACTAATTTAAATAATGATAAGGAGTCTTCAGTAACTATTGTAAGACCACACTGGGATGTCCTTCTTTTGATTTAACTGCTGGGCCAAATTTAACCAAACTTGGCCTCAATCATTATTAGGGTATCTAATACTATTTATTATGCTTTTAACCCTATTTAACATGATTTCCAAAACCATAGTAGATACAGGTGAGCGACACAGACTCTTAAGTTAGTTGGGGTAAAGATTGCATGACATGCAATTAAAACCCTTTTGTCACTTGCTTGATAAATTTATTTTCCAGGCCTTATCTATCTTTGAGAGCAAAAACAAAATAGTACATTAATATCATTCCTTAGATGCTATCCATGTCACTATCAAGCAATTCATTTTTGATGTATACTGAGATTTAAAAAATATATATATTTATATATAATATATATCTATCTAGTCTACAAATATGTTCAAGTACAACCATTGACAAATGAAGAGCACTCATTCAAAATATTGCCTAAATATGTTTCATTTATGAATATTATGCAATGTTTTATATTAAGTTCACATTGCGAAATGAGAGCAATCTTACTCTTCAGTGCTTGCAAGCACTTTATTTAAATAATCTCTTCTAAGACCATAAACCAATTGAATTTAAACTTTGTTTACTTTTCAAAGTGCATTTAACTTTGTATATTTTTCTAATTTCGTTTGAACTTTGGAGGAGCTATATATTTCCCATGTTGTTCAGACAAAGTTTGTAATACCAATGGAAAGATTTTTGTATGCTAGGAGTATAATTGATTGTAGAATCTTCTGATGTAATATGATTTTGCTAAGGTTTAAAATATCACATATCTTAAACATCAGTTTTAATCATTTGTCTTATACTAGATCAAGAGTTTTCCAAGGTACAATTTAGGGAGGACTTGTATTAAGACAGTTTTGGAAATTTAGTAAAAAATCAGAGTAAAGTTGTAAAAAGGAAATGTATATTCAATGCTTTTGTGCTACTTTAATTCTTGAAATATTTGACATTAGTGCTTTTATATTTGTATGCAATGAAGCATTTTACATTTATTGTTTGTTATTTTAAGTGATGATTTTTGCAATAAAATAATTCACAAGTTTATCATTTTGATATTTTGACTAGTGTGGATTCTTGTGGTTGATGATGCATGAATAGCAGGAGAAGCTAAACCTGTCGACAAACACAGTCTTGCTCCTTTTGGAGTTCATGGGATTCCCCTAGATTTGAACATTTGCAAAAAACTGTTGCCTTAATTTATCCTGTGTTTGATATTTTAATAGGTGCATTGTTCAAGTATCAGGCTAATTCTTTTCTCGAAACCAAGTTTGGAAGGAATATAGTAAAAGGTTTATCCATTTAACATTTTACCATTTAACAGGCACAAATATTATGCTAATTGCCCTTTATTTTGTTTTTCTTACACCACATATGACATTGCTATTTGAAATCTGTTAAAAGCTACTTTAGCCGATATATTGGTGTAAGAAGGAATGATTTCATTGTCATTAGATAAATTGCTTTGCTTTTTTGGACGATTTTATGCTTATAATCAGAAAAGTGCTTGTAATTTATAACGTGTTGTTTTCAATTTTTTCAGTACCATAGCACTGACAATTGAGCGGATGGTATGCACTCAGGGACTTGAAGTCCATCAGCTGCGGTATCGTCGACCCAATGCTGTAAAAAATGAAAATTGCAATATAGCTACAAATGTATAACTATACAGCTAGATAATGAAATCATCTTCCAATAACTATATGTGTAACGGCTCTTAAATATACATATGACTTGTATAAATATAAAGTTGAAGAGCATTGAGGACCCAAAATTACTTAAAGTTTTGCCAAATACAGCTAAGGTAATCTATTCCTGGTGGTAGAAGCTATATTCAACAATTTGAACTGTCACAGAAATATCAAGAGACCTTGTTTATATACCAGAAAAAAGGTACATGTTATTTTTACCGTTTATAAATGTACAGACTACAACCAAAGAACTTCACATGAATACAACACCTTGGCAATATCTAAGGAAATTAATACATCACATTGTTAGATCTCACTCTAAAGCATTAACCTACAGCAGTTTCAATTTCTAACATTTTTCTCCAATAACGCTATATCCTATGATTTTGAATCAGTTGTGTCCACTAGCTTATCTGGTTAATGACCATGCACTGAAATGAACGTGTTTTCTTAATGTTAACAGTTATGTAAATCTTCATTGGGTTTCGAATGGTCATTTTAAAGACGTTACCATAAGCGGATCCAGGGGGGGGGGGTGGGCCGGGCCCCCCCTTTTGTGGGAAAAATTTGGTTGATTATATAGGGAATCACTGAAGCATGACTGAAGCGGCCCCCCCCCCCCCCCCCCCCCCCCCCCTTATGAAAAGTTCTGGATCTGCCACTGGTTACTTTCAATTTTATAGGATAGCATCAGATGTTGAACAATGCGAATGATTTTCACAAGATGTGAAACCAATACCCCAAAACAAAACACAAATGTATATGCTTAATTGAGGAATAGATTGAACTCCAAAAGAACCGAGACTGTGTGCCTCATCGGCCATGCGAATAACTGTTCATTGAATTTCAATTTAGCGTGCATGACTTGTCACAAGATCCCGTTCATTATAAATTACTCGCTCACTTACACAGGGCACATTCTCATTTTGATTAAAGCCTTCACTGCGATTTAGCAACAAGAGGCATCTGATCAATCAAGTTAATATTGAATTATCAAAATTACCCGATTAGCCAATTTTTGTCGAGCCTGCGACTTTTGTCGCAGAAAGCTTGACTAAGGGATAGTGATCCGGCAGCGGCGGCGTTAGCTAACTTCTTAAAAGCTTAATATTTGAGAAGGTAGAATACCTGGATGCTTCATACTTTGTTTATAGATGCCTTATGATACGAAGTTTCCATCTGTCATATGTCCATTGTCCATCACCTCATTTTCATGGTTCAGTGACTACTTGAAAAAAAGTTAAGATTTTTTGTAATGTTAATTTCTCTCTTATTATGAGTAATAGGATAACTATATTTGGGATGTGGTTAACTTGCAAGGTCCTCATGTCTGTCAGACAGTTTTCACTTGACCTCGACCTCATTTCATGGATCAGTGAACAAGGTTAAGTTTTCGTGGTAAAGTCCATATCTCAGATACTATAAGCACTAGGTCTACTATATTTGGTGTATGTAATGATTGTAAAGTGTACATGTCCCTCTGACCTTGACCTCATTTTCATGGCTCAGTGGATAAAGTTGAGTTTTTGTGTTTTGGCCTGTTTTTCTAATACTGTATGCAGTAGGTCAACTATATTTGGTTTATGGAAATATTTTATGATGTACATGTCAGTCTGGCAGGTTTTATTTGACCTTGACCTCATTTTCACAGTTCATTGCTCAATGCTAAGTTTTTGTGTTTTGGTCTGTTTTTCTAATACTGTGTGCAGTAGGTCAACTATATTTGGTGTATGGAAATATTTTATGATGTACATGTCAGTTTGGCAGGTTTTATTTGACTTTGACCTCATTTTCACAGTTCATTGCTCAATGTTAAGTTTTTGTGTTTTGGTCTGGTTTTTTTTTAATACTGTATGCAGTAGGTCAACTATATTTGGAGTATGGAAATATTTTACGATGTACATATCAGTTTGGCAGGTTTTATTTGACCTTGACCTCATTTTGATGGTTCATTGCTTATGTTAAGTTTTTGTGTTTTGGTCTGTTTTTCTTAAACTTTAAGCAATAGGTCAACTATATTTGGTGTATGGAATGATTGTAAGCTAGGTGTATACGTCTGTCTGACAGGTATCATCTGATCTCCACCTCATTTTCACGAGTCATTGGTCAATATAGAATTGCCATGGTTTGGTCTGTTTCTTTTATACTATAAGCAATAGGTCATCTATATTCTGTGTATGGAATGATTGTATCAAAGGTGAACATGTATTTCCGCCTTGGTTTATCTGACCTTGACCTCATTTTCTTGGATCATAAATGTTAATGTGATACTTGTAGTAAAACTTTATATGTAGGACTATCAACATAAAATCAATGGTCAGTATAGTAGGCGTGACATTTCAGCGTGTTCACTCTTGTTGAATTGTCAAAATTACCAAACCTTAAATGGATAGATACCAAACAGCTGCTGTGTCTTGTTAGTGTGCAGGATATTTATGCACGTGAGGAAATTAGTAAACTTTTAAGATCGAACACTGACAATTCTCAATTTGTAAAGAACTTAATGGATACTTACCACACAATTCTGCACGGAGACATGAATTATTCAGAATACTCTTTACTTTATAAAGATAACACAGCTAAGATTGGGTTGAAACTGTTTGTTGAAGAAGCTGGTATTGAAGAAAACTACATTTTTAAGATATGTAGTAAAATCCTCCATAAATGCATTAAGAGGTAAGTTAAATACCTTTCTTAAAAAATCAGTTACACATTTTAAAAACAATGGTGGCTTCCTCCGATTTTCTGAGCATCTAAGCGACCTGTTTAAATTTTCAAGGGATGTTGACGTCTTCTTAGCAATAGTTTTCCAAAACATTATTTGAATTTTCTGTATTATCTACAGGGGGAGGTGGTGGGTTTTGAAGACGATCTTTAATACAGGGATAAAATTGAGTCACTGACAAATGCAACACAAATACTATCGGCAACTAAACTACAATAACTGGAATAACTTATTGGTAATTTAACCACTAATATTTAAGAGAGAGATAATATTCAAGGGAGCATTAATTTTGATATTTAAGGAGGAGTTTTGAATTTTGTTTGCCTTGGCAAAATAGGAGAACGTGTATTATGAAATTTTAGTACCTATGTTATATATATGTTAAAGTCGTGCTAGTTTTTCTTATATATCAATTTTAGCATGATTTCTGCACTGTTTCAGAGAAAAAACGCACTGTCTTAATGCTCCAAGCAACCTCCATTTATGTTTTCTCAATCTGCACGTTATCCGTTTCCATGATATGCACCCTAGTGTACCCAGGAACATATATATTAGATATACTGTTCCCAGGTGTACCTAAATAATAAATCAGTATCTTGAAGGGAAAGAGTTCCATATGGCACCCCCACGGAATAAACTGTAATACATTATTGTGTTCTTTTAGTATGGTGGGGGTGCCATATGGAACTCTTACCTCTTGAAGATTCGTATACTTAGTATACTAAAAATATATTGGTCATCATACAGATAACCAACTTACAATTCACTTACAAAATGTACTTTCGAGGAATGAAATTCAATGTGCTGCCAAATCGACTTTATTTGCTACTGTTACTCTTCATTAGCATGATAGAAGTATCAAGTTGAAGAACGGTAAAAAAGGTAAATAAAAACAATTAAAAAAAATGATGTTTAACAATATGTCTGTGACGTGTTTGTGGTGGATTGGTAAATGCACGCACACTAGAGACTACATTTCGTTTCTATAATATGTGTATTATGTATATGTTGTATACAAGTTATCACTTTGTACAAATTATAATTTGTACAAAAAAATTGTACAAAATATAATTTGTATTTTGACTTTGTACAAATTGTAATTTGTACAAAAAGTGCTTATACAATATTTGACTAAAATTCACTTATAACTTGTACAATAATTTATAGTATGAATTTTGTTTAAAAATGCATTGATACACACTATAGAATTTTTATTCAATGACCACACAATAACCCTTATTCACTAAATACAGAAATACCCAGATGGGGGGAATGTAATTGATACATGCATGCCAGTCAATTCTGATAGTACAATAGAAATTTGCCCCAAGGGCTAATTCTGATTGAATGATAAACATTGACCCCAGTGACAATTCTGATAGTATAAGTAATAGTTATACACCGAGGGATAGGTGTGTCTGGATAAGAAACCCCGTCGGCCGGAGGCCGGAGGGGTTTCTTATCCAGACACGCCGTATCCCGAGGTGTATAACTAACTTACACCCCATTCTAAATTAACCCATTATTTGTTAACATTGATTATTAAATGAAAAAAAAAAACCGATAGCATATTTATTGACAATATCAAACCATGATTTATAAGAACTTTTTTTTAATAACATGAAACCCCA